AGCAGGAGCCTTGGTTCCTGGCTCAGTCTTTTTCTTTTTTCTTCTTTTTATGAATATAGGACAAGGTGTACAGGGCCTCACTATGTAGATGGGACTTGTAGCGATCCCCATTTTCAGCCTCCCAAGCACTGGGATTACAGGCACGCGCCACCATGCCCAGTCTTAGCACGCCTCAAGGGGACCTGCACGGCATGCCAGGATTGAACCCCGGTCGCTGTGCTTTGCCGAAGCAGGCGCTCTGGCTGGCCCTTCCTGGCTCGATCTGGAAAGGGGATAAACGGGAGGTTTTCATGAGGACTGGATGGTTGTCAGGGCCTCAGAGAACTTGAAAGCCAAGCACTTAGAGCAACTGGGGTCATTCACCTGGGAAAGAGATGGTCTCTCCTCCATTTGCCCAAGCCCTACTCACCAACCAGTGCTGCTCTCCAGAATGTACCACAGGTACCCACACCTGGGCGGGCACGGTGGCTCACCTCGGTTACTCAGTAGCTATGCAACTTCGGGCAGGAAACGACCGAACCTCTCTGCCCTCGCTGCTTCATCCACAGTTGAAGATATTAATTATGCAGATGTTCTTGGTAGGATTGCAATAGGAATTAAGTGAATTAATATAAAGTCTCTAGTGCAATGCCTGGCACATTGTAAACACTCCAGGACTGTTTAAAAAATTATTCACCAGGAAGGTTGGCGGGGCTAAATAAATTGTGAAACACTGGGTTAAAGATCAACAGACTTTACTGCAAGGCTTCTCAAAATGATAACACTAACAAGGCTCACGGCATGTACAATGAAGAATGAAATTAAATGAGCCAATAGATGCCCGCCACAGTTCCCGCCTGTGCAGAGCAGATGCTTAATAAATGTTACCTCTAGGTTTGATGTTTTGCTTTTGCTTTCTGGTCCCAGAGATTAAACACTCTGCCACTGAGCTATGCACCCAGCCTTTTCGCTTCTTCTTCTCCTTCTTCTAATTTTTTTTTTTTTTTGTCTCATTAAATTGTTCAGGCTGTCCTCAAATTTTTGATCCTCCTGACTCAACCTTCAGTACCCAGGATGACCTGGGTGCATCACTGTGCCTGGGCACCTTTGGGTATTGTTAATAAGCACCATGATTCAACAAGACATGGAACTCCGGGCAGCCCCTCCCAGTTATTTGTGCTATCTTTCCACAGAGTATACTTGAGAACAAGAGCTCCGTACAGCACACTCTGGACAAAGTCGCTGTGGGAATGGCTACCTGTTTTCCAGCTCTTCCCAAGGGATCTAAAAAGGATGTGGGCCCAGGCGAGAGCAGCGAGGATTCTGTTATTAGGAATGACATGCTAGGAAGGACCGCTGCATCTTCCCCTGCTCCCCCGCCTTTCACAACCTGCATGGATGGTGTCCCCATGGAAAGGGCATCAGTCTGTGATTCCTAGGAGCTGCATCGACTCTTGACTCTTCCACCTTTGAGCTAGGTGGTTGTGGCTAGGTGGTCGTGGCTAGGTGGTCGTGGCCATGGCACCTGGCCTATCTGAGTCTGGTGTCTTCAACTGCACAACGGCAGGAGATGCCTAAGACCTCTTCTGGCTGAAGGACTCTCCTCACTTCTCACAAAGTGAGGGAGGGAAGAGGAAAGGGAATAATCCCTAGCTCCCATTGTTGATTCTGGACCTACTTAGGAGTCCTTTCTACAGATGTTCCCATGCCTGCTCACCCACGCAGCCCATGTGCTCCCTGAGGTCAGGGGATGCTAATGGAGAAGAAGAGCAACGTGCCAAGCTAGACCACAGCCATCAAGAGGTGGGAGAGGAAGAAGAGCAAAGAGGAGCTCGTATCAACCCCGTGCATTCAGAGACTTTCCAGACACACTACATCAAAGAGCCACACTTTCAAACAGAGTCACTACCACCGCCATCTTCTGAACTAAACGCCAGGTTGCACGGTATCAGAAAGGATTTCTAATGCACCTGGTACAAGACACCATCCTGGAGATGAAATGTGCCAGTTCACCTTTCAATTTTGGTAAAAGGTAGATGGCTTAAAGGGAGACAAGGGACAGAATAACTAAAAATGGGACTGTTTCAGGAAACGTGCCGAACACCTTCTCTCCCTCTGTAGGCTCATCATGCTGGACCACAGGAGCATCACTCTCTCCCCATCACAGAAGAGGAGCACCTCATCCTCAGCATTTCCCTAGAGGCAATAAAAACCACACTGGGGGCGTAGACTGGTATCTAGCATTCCCAACAGGTCTAGCCCCTTCCTAGAGCTCCCTCACTTTCCTCTAAGCTTACTTGTGATACTTACCTCCACCAAATGATGGTGAAGCAACAATTTCTCCCATCTAACTTATTAGCCCACCAGACATAATGACCTACTTGGGAGTTTGGCGTCTTCACAGCGGAGCTCCCAGGCCGAGAACTTCTCAAAGCAGGAGTGAGCTCAGCGTACCTCCCGAGGTAGGAGCTGAGCGCTCTCCTGGCCCTTTGTCCTGCCCTGTTCTTAATTTCCTGCTGTCTGTTGTCCCTCTGATAAGTGTTGAAAAGGGAAAAAGTGTTATTTAATTGCTGTAAAATATCAAACAAGCCAATGGCGAGGTTATCTCCTTCCCAACCTCTCTCTCTCTATTTTTTTTTTTTTTTTTGGCTCAGCGTTTTGTTACTTAGTTACTGACCCTGCTGCAGAAGCAGGAGAGGCAGACCTGTGTGGGCAAGAGCAGCCCAGGCTTGGCAGAAGACTGAGGAGAAGCCAAAAAGGCAGGAGTCAAGAGAAGGGACGGCAACGCAGGCTGCTGAGCACAGGAGGCAGCGAAGTCCAACAGCTCTTTGGAGGAGGGAAAGGCAGGGGAGCACTAGACCCAGACAAAATAAGAACACTGTTTAAGTGACATCTTTTCTCCCATCAAAGTGATCCATATGTTCAGATCCCACTCAGCGAGCTGCAGGAAGGACAGGTGTCCAGGGGGGATGGGCCTCCTACTCCCTGCATAGGAGGGGAGTTCACTGACTTTGGTCACCCAAGCTCAAAAGCAGAGAGAAACACAACCACTCACTGAGTTGCCACAGGTGGAGGTGGCTATTCAGCTGAGTTTCCAGGAGCTGCTGGCTTCTCTGGTGGGACACATACTAAAATTAAAAAGCCCCCCCCCAAAAAAAAATCAAAACTGCCGCTGTACATGTACAAAACTCCCATAAGAGGGCCAGTGAGACAGCTCAGTGGTCTAAGCACCTGCTTAGGCAAGCACAGGGACAGGGGTTTGATCCCCCACCCCACTGGCCTCGTGGGCCCCTGCCCAGAGTGCACTGAGCTGGCTGAGACCAGGCATGGTGGTGCACGCCTGTAACCCCAGCACTGGGGAGGCAGAAAACAGGAAGATCACTAGGAGTCCAAGCTGCGTAGTGAGACCTTGTACCAAATACATTAATAAAAATAAATAAATAAATAAATAAAACTCCCATTAGACTAGCCATGTATGTCTTGGGGGAAGGGCTTGATGGCCAGTGGCTTGTTTCTTGTGTGGTTATAAGGTGTTTTTTTTTTTTTAATGATACATGGATATTATCAATGGTTTAAGAACATTTATAAGACAACATGGTACGAGGGACAGGAATTCAAGGGTATCATGGGGGCTGCCTGGCTCTTTGCCCAACTCTTACCCTGGAAACCATCAGAGTCATGGATTTTAAAGTAGAGGTAGCAATAGGTTTCCTAACTGCCACCAGAGGAGACAGAGTTCGCCTGAGCTCAATTCTATGACCACCTCTTCCTCTTCCAGGAAATGGGGGGAAGGACACACCTCTCTTCCAGGGAACTTCCCACCCTGACCTGTCTATCCTCCACATAGAAGAAGCCCAGGTTGGCTGGAATGTCAAGACAGTCGCTAGTTTGGATTCCTTCTAGCACCGGAGCCTCTGGCTGACCAACAGCTCAAAAAGACAAGAGGCCAACCAAAGTCCCCCATGTCGTCGAGTACAAGCAGCTCTCTGCCACGTGACCTGCCGGTTCCCCCCCCTCATCTCCCGCTCCACCTGCTGCTGTACAGCTTCTGGACTTCTGTTTTTCTCTGGCGAACTGATAAGTGGATAGCAGGATGGACAGATCCAGGCAGCTCAGCCCACGGAGACAGCTAATTGGGCTCCGTTTCTGATTTTCCACCCTCTCCAACTGCACCCGGGATGGTGTGTGTGTGCTCGAAGGAGGGCGAGGAAAGGAAGGCTGCAGGACTGATTATGACTTATTAAACTATTGGAACACAGGCTGAATCATCACGTATAAAAAATAAATAGCTGCGACCCAACACCCACCTCTCGCCGGTTCCCTCTTGCTTCTAGCACAGCGGCACGGCACGGCACGGCACGGCACGTAGGCAGTGCGCACGGCAGTGGCGATGCCGTCCGCAGACAGCTGCTGCAGGACAGACTAGAGCAGTGGGACAGCCGGGCCCCTGGGACTCGGCCCTCTGCCGCATCTCCGGACCCAGGTGCAGGTCCACACCTGCCTGTGTCGGCAGCTGCATGGAGAAGCGGGTTCCTCCCCGTCCCTTCGCTCTGTACCCTTGCCCTCGCTCACACCCTGCAACTTGCAACCGGGGCTGACCCATGGTAGACGCCGCTTTGCAAACTTGTGTGACAGCGAAAAGCACAGAGGTCCCAGGGCCAGTGTGGACCTCACCCCGTCCCCAGCAGCCACGCCAGCTGCCTGGAATGTGCTGGGGAAAGGGAATCAGTTCTGTAAGATCCGAAGAGAAGCTGCGCGTGTCCTCGCCCGCGAGTCTTGCAGAGACTCGGATCGTTTCGTCCTTCACGCCCACGCAAGCGGGTCCCTCTTGACCCTCTCCTGGGTATCGCAAGCTCAGCCTGCAGCCTCCCGCAGTATTCCCCGCAGGTCTCGCCCTGGTCCTCCTACAGGACCTGCGGGCGGAGCGAAGCCGCCGTGACGTAACCGGAGGGGGGGGCTGTGGGGAAATGTGCCGAGGGGCTCTGGCCGCCCGGGCCAGTCCGAGCGGCGCAGCCACCAGAGCTCGCTCGCTAGGCCACCCGCTAAGGGGATTCCGGTCCGCGGCGGGGCGCTGGCGGCGCACGAGGGAAGAGGGGAAGGGAGCCGCGCGAGGACGCGCAGCGTCAGGCACCTGCCAAGCTGCTCCGCTCCCTGGCACCCAGGCCAGTAAGGGACAGCTACTGGGTGCTGGCGAGACCAGATAAGGAGCTGCCGCGGAAAACCAAGGTAAGGTGTGGGTGCGTGTGTGCTGTGTGTGACAGAGAAGCAGGCACAGAGGAGGGAGCGGGAAGCGCATCTGGGCACCTGTGTGCAGCTGCCCTGAGACCGTGTGCCCGGCGGTGCAGGGAGCCCAAGTCCAGGTGCGCTGCTCTCAGCGCCGGTGCCTGCTGGGAGGGACTGCGTGGTTGGGGTGGGAATGAGCCACAGGGGATCCTGGCGCAGGTCCGCAGCTGCAGGAGCCGTTGGTCTACACAGCCTCTGTGCGTGCCTGGCGTATGCCCTGCAGCCCAAGTGTCCGGCAGCAGCAGCTGTAATGGGGGCAACTTCTCTCCGAGCCACTTGCAAAAGAGCCCTGGAGCAAGAAGCGAGAGGCCGGTGGGAGGGCTGTGTCGGTGCGCCCCTGGGGGTCTGTGGGCACCAGGCGCAAAGAAGAGGGGATTGTCTGGTTTTTCCACTCCTGGCTGGGGAGGTAGACACAACTGGCGTGGGGTCGCATCTTCTGCTCTGGGCAGAGACGTTAGCTTGCCTACACTGGAGAGAGGGACGCAAGGAAATGGTCAAGCCCCCGGGGAAGCGACTTTAGTAGCTTCCAACTCTCCCAGGAACCTCCGTCTCACTGTGTTTACAGGCTGGACATGCTAACACAAATTGCCTTCGTTCCCTCTCCCTTCTTCTACCTCGAAATGGCAGGGAATCGTTCCGGAATCCTTGGTCCTTAAGGTCTCAGAGTTGAAGGAGGATTTTTCCGGGCTCCAGCTCAGCTGGCCTGAGTGCCCTCCCCCACCCACCCCCTTTGGTCAACACCAGGACTTTTCCTAGGGGCTCTATTGCGGCGGTGGCCCATATTGGGTTGCTGTCTCTCTTCCAGTGGGGGGCCTGGCTCCAGCTCCCTAGATACCTAGCGCTAGGCTGGAAGGGAGGTAGGAGTGGGAATTGAATTGGGAAAGCTGCTGGGAAGACCCCAACTATGAATAAGTAGGATTTAGGCCCACGCTGATACCAGGTCCCATTCCATCACTCACTACTGCTCTAGGATAAAGGAAGGGACCACTGTCGCTGCTCTCCTCTTCAATAGAGCCTGGACTTAAGCTCCAAGTAAACCAACCACCAGTCCATTCCAGGTAGCTAACAACTCTTAAGCTGGTAAAACGAAAAAAGCAGAAAAATGAAACTTCCTGGTACATTTAATTTAACCACAATTCAACAAGTATTGACTGCTTGGCATTTAGAATTCGCTCTCTGCGAGATAAACATGAAGCAGAAGTCACCCGGAGACCTTAGACAGCGGAGCTCCTGGCTAAATGATACTCACCGGAAGCTGAGCCCCTTTCTTCCTTGAAGCAGCCTCACCCAGCTCTAGACTGGCTCCCTAGCTGCCACGACCTCTGCCAGAGCTCTGAATCCCATCTCTTGCTGCCTCTTGAACAGGCTTCTCAGCCTATTTTAGGAGAAAAAAAAACCAAAAAACACCTGACCCTAAAGCACTTTAGCCCAGGAGAAAAACACAGGGCTGGAAAACAGCATCTGACCCTTCCCCCACATCCCCGACATCATCGCACCCCCAGAGATCTAGCCAGGGCTTCTGTGGCCCCAGGGGGCTTCAGTGTAGCCTTCATGTTAGACTGTGATGGCTCATGGCATAGTCATGGCCCTGCAGCAAGGTTGAGGGCTGATGTCTCCTCCAGGTGCAGCCAGCTGAAATGGAATTCTGGATCAGTAGAATTAAAGAACCGATAAGATGGTTAAGAACAATAGTGGAAACAGTCTATAAATTAATCCAAGGATACTAAAGACAGCTTCTTTACAGCCTCTGTATTAGCTGTCAGCTTATGGTTTTTTTACCCAACAGACATGAAATCCCAAGTCCCCAAAATACTTGGTGGCAAAATAGGTTGGCCACAAAACCCAGACTCTGCAGATACTGGTGACAGGGGAAACGAGCACAAAAAGAATAAGCAGTGTGCCTGGCAGGACAGCGTGAATCACAAGCACAGGTGGGCAGGGATGCGCTAGTACTTGTTGCCTAAACCGCCTTCACCTGCTTTGTCTGCGAGCATTAAGCTTTCACTGTCTCATCCATTCGCAGGGACCAGGAAAAGTGCCCTGCTCAGGGAGATGTGTCAGGCAGCCTCATGCTTCCGCCTGTGTTCTGGGCACACCACCCGCTGGCCTCTCCCTTCTCCCTGGACTGATTTCCTGCCCTGTCCTGCTGTTTCACTCTTCATACACCCAAGACCCAGCTCCAAAAATCCCTCCTGTGAAGCCTCCTTAAATCCCTAGGAAAGAAAGGAACTCTTACAGCCTTTGTTGACCTCTCCAGGCTGTTCACACCCTCTTTGAGTTGGTTTCCCCGCTGTCTCCCCTATGGAATTATCACTCCCTCCAGGACACCAGCCACATCTTTGTGCCACACAAAGAGGCTCCCAGCCACGTATTTCCAATGATTACAGATAAGTCATTTAAGTATGGGATGATCCATTGTCACCTATCTTAAGTCAAGCAACAGCATTATAATTATTTGCTCAGCAAGCATGCAGGTAACACAGGAGTCAGTTGCTTTAAACCAAAGCCCAATTATCACCCACTCATTTTCAAGTCTATTGAGAAACAGATGTGTTGATGAAAAGCAGAGAGGTGGGGCCAGGGGCCCTGTGTTCCAATCCCAACCTGCCAACTATGAGTGCAAGCTCCTTAAACTCTCTAAGTCTTGATTTCCTTATCTTTAAAATGGGGATAATATCCCACTTCCCAGGAGGACGGGTGGAGCAGGAATGCACTGTCTCTGGAACCTTCTGTTCACACCTAGAAAGACTGTGTGTCCCTCACCAGGCTCCGGTCCTCATCTGCAATCTGGGAACTGCAGCCAAACCTCTGGGGGATGGGATAAGAAACACTCTAGAGCAGCACCCTGGTCAGGGACATTAGGAACTGGCTGTCCTCAACATGAGGTGACAAGTATCAGGGACTGGAGAAACAAAAATGGAACAGACAATGCCTAAACTAATGCACACTTTTTTTTTTTTTTCTTAAAGGAAGGGGGCAGAAGTTCTCATTATGCAGTTCAGAGTGCCCTTGAATTCACTATGTAGCCCAGGTTGTCCACACACGAGTAGCCCTCCTCCTGCAGGCGTCACCGTGCCTAGCTTCAGGCTTTTATTTCAAATATTGAAGATTATAAATTGATTCACTGTGTAGGCAGATTTCAATCAACTGAAGATAATGAGAGGGTGGAAGCAAAAAGGGGGAGGGATAACTTAGAGGTTCCAGTTATGAGCTCAGCAAAATGGTAGGCCTCTTCCCAGACCTTCCATGGTTCCCCACTTCAAACAAAGGAGTCTGAGCAGCAAAGGGCTAGATACGAGGCCACATGGGCTCAGCAGAGGGACTGAGACTGTTATAACTCTAAGGTCTGGGTTCCTCTAGCTCAAAGATTGAGAACGGAAAGACTTCCCAGCAAGCAGCAGCAAGTCAGCATGGATTTCTTCACAGGGAAAAGACCCCGGGTGCCAGAGTCAGACCCTCCCACCCCAAGTTAGGGGCTGAAATCCTCCAATCTGCCTTTTTGCAGTTTGAACCAGACAGTGACTGAGGGGTCAAAGTATGTGTTCTCAAGGCCCCAGCCATCCCCCCACACGTGTCACCAAAACTGATGGCTGAACCCAAGCCATTCCCCCACTATGGAAAAGGGACTCTAAAAGTCTGCACAAGGACAAGGAGGGTTTGGCAGCTGTCGTACTGATGTGAAAGGATGGTGTGTTTCCTGGTTTAAGAGTATGTCTACAAGGACAAGGCAGAAACAGAGAAAGCCGGGAGAGCTTAAGTAGCCTGTGACTGATGGGCCTATCTTCTTTCTTTCCTTCCAGATGTTACAGTGGATCTTTGGCCTTCAGGGCTCACTGCGGGGCAAATAAGGTCTCTGGCTGGTTGGCTCTAGGCCACGAGGCAGAATGACCATGGAGATGGCATACGAGCCCCTCAATGGCAGCCAAGTGTGGCTGGCCTCTCCCTTTGACCTCAATGGCTCTGGGGTGGCAGCCAACAGCTCGAACCAGACAGAGCCCTACTATGACATGACCAGCAATGCGGTGCTCACATTCATATACTTCGTAGTCTGTATCATTGGGTTGTGTGGCAACACGCTTGTCATTTACGTCATCCTCCGTTATGCCAAGATGAAGACCATCACCAACATTTACATCCTCAACCTGGCCATTGCAGATGAGCTCTTCATGTTAGGGCTCCCGTTCTTGGCCATGCAGGTGGCACTGGTCCACTGGCCCTTTGGCAAGGCCATCTGCCGGGTGGTCATGACGGTGGATGGCATCAATCAGTTCACCAGCATTTTCTGCTTGACAGTCATGAGCATTGACCGCTACCTGGCTGTGGTCCACCCCATCAAGTCGGCCAAGTGGAGGAGACCCAGGACAGCCAAGATGATCAATGTGGCTGTGTGGGGAGTTTCTCTGCTGGTCATCTTGCCTATCATGATATATGCTGGGCTTCGGAGCAACCAGTGGGGGAGAAGCAGTTGCACCATCAACTGGCCAGGTGAATCTGGGGCATGGTACACAGGGTTCATTATCTACGCTTTCATCTTAGGGTTCCTGGTTCCCCTCACCATCATTTGTCTTTGCTACCTGTTCATTATCATCAAAGTGAAGTCTTCTGGAATCCGAGTGGGTTCCTCCAAGAGGAAAAAGTCTGAGAAGAAGGTCACGCGAATGGTGTCCATTGTGGTGGCTGTCTTCATCTTCTGCTGGCTCCCCTTCTACATATTCAATGTCTCCTCCGTCTCTGTGGCCATCAGCCCCACCCCAGCCCTTAAAGGTATGTTTGACTTTGTGGTGGTCCTCACCTATGCTAACAGCTGTGCCAACCCCATCCTCTATGCCTTCTTATCTGACAACTTCAAGAAGAGCTTCCAGAATGTCCTGTGCTTGGTCAAGGTGGGTGGCACAGATGATGGGGAAAGGAGCGACAGCAAGCAGGATAAATCCCGGCTGAACGAGACCACAGAGACCCAGAGGACCCTCCTCAATGGAGACCTCCAAACCAGTATCTGAACTGCCTGGAAAACAAAAGCACAGAGAAGCCAAGCTCTGCCCCTGGGCAGTGGGCTCTATTCTCAGACCCTCTTCCTCCCACCCATCACTCTGACTTCTTGAATAAAGGATTGCTCAGCATGAGCCTAGTACAGAGAACAGGGTCAGAGCTGGTCTGATTGAATGATAACATATCACATTGATCACCTCCCCCTTAAGGTGACATTTAAATCCAGGCAGACAATTCAAAAGTCTGGAGAAGAGGAGATCACCCCTGGGTATGACCTTGAGAAATGCTGAAGCTTAACAAAAATAGGAAAAAAAACCCTACTCATGTGTTTGTGTGCTTAAAAACCAATATGTAATCTTGTGTTGTGATATTTATACTTGTATTATTCCTATCTATTCTTTGTATAGTTGCTACCTTCATTTTCTTCATGCACATATGCAAGTAGCAAAGTCAACTGTGCATAGACATTCACCACAATATGGAACTAAAGAAATGGACTTAGCATGAACCCAATGAACCCTTACACTTCAGGGCTCTCTCTGGCAGTGTGGGCATACGGTCATGATTTTGTTTAAAAAAAAAAAATGTGAAAGTAAAATACTTTGGTTTTTTTTTTTTTTTTTTTTTTTCTTTTAGGAGGGGCCCTTTTTAAACTGTATACACTTCCAGCCTCACAGGAGCTACCTGTGCCTTAGGGTGTTTGCTTCATTAAATTCAGGGAAGTTAGATCAATTCAGGAGATGGGAGAAGATATTTGGTGGCCCAAAATATAAATCCACGAGATTCCTCCTCCTCGGTGTAATCAGTTATTCGCACACACCCCAGGCCGTCAGCAGCTGTGGTCATCAGTCACTATTTATGAAGACGAAGCTGGCTTTGTGATAAGACTGCCTTCTCCTTCTCAGGTTGGCTTGGTCTTTAGGAAACCACAGAGAGGAAAAGTCACTAACCTGAAAGGCAAAAAATAAAAAGACTCTGATTCTCGTGGGGAAACAATTTTCTCTCCTTCCCACTGTGAAAATAAGTGAGGACGAAGCAAAATTATACCTTTATGAGAAACTATGAGAAAGTTTTTTTTTTCCTTTTAATGTTGGACACTGCTTTCTAATGTAACTCAACAACCCCTCAAAGGGTTTTTAAAAGGATTTTATACAAAACTAGGCTTTTAGAAAATCACTATGCATATTAAAGATCTAAGGACATTGTTCATAAAACAAAAACACACATATTGGCCAATAAATATTCAGCATGGGGAGTGTGCAGGTGTAAGTGTGAGTGAGTGTGTGTGTGTGTGTGTGTGTGTGCGTGTTGAAAGGAGCCCCAGCCTTTGGCAGTATTGCTACCTGCCCTTCTTTGCTGACTGTATACATTTCAAGCATTATATGTTTAATGTTATGGACTCTGAGATTCTTCGCACAGAGGACTTTTGTTGCTCAAACTGTAGAGAGGTTTGTACACAAGTGATAAGAAGGGAAAGTGTCCCATTTTGTCGACTGATCACAGTTGCCAGGGCTTTGAAGAAACATACACCCAGCATTTGCAAGATGCCATCATCTCCAGGTTTCTATGAAAGTATGACTCTTAACATCTGGCATATAGATTTTACCATATTTAAAAATGAGCTTTCTTCTCCTGACTATCTAAGCAAGTGCTGTTTGAAGGTCAGAACGACTAAGTGTCCCACCTGTGGCTTCCGTGTTAATGCACTGCTTTCATTCCTGCTGCCTATATCATTCACCTCATTCCCCAAAGTATTTACTGTGGTTTAAGAAACATGTTCAATTTGATTTATGATAGACAAATAAACTCATTCAAAAGTAAGAAGTGCAATTATGAAACAAGACTATGGAGAAAGTTGTTATGGACAAATGCACGTGGTAAAATCCCACATTCTAGGGACCAGGGTACTGTAGGGAGGGAAAACATGGGATGAAAGCCTTACTGAACTTTATTAAAAATTAATAAAGCTCTGCAGGAAGACTCTAGCAATTAGAAGTGCAAAGGCAGCTTGTCTCTGAGGAATAAGACAAAAACTGCTGAACTCAAGCAATGGAGAAGACAGAGAACTGAAGACCTGAAGTTTTTAGGTAGCTCCATCAACAGTACAATGGCAAACTTCCCCTTCACTTAATCCTTTAGCGTGATCACCTGCCCATAAGGTCCCACCCATAACCTTATCCTCCACCAAAGGACAGGGAAAGGCCACCCAAGGCTAGGATGAAAGACAAGCCAGGAACCCAATCAGATTCTAGGAGCCTACACGGGTCAAAGTTCTGAATAAAAGGAGCTGCAGACAAGAAACCCACAAGCAATTCACTTTCAAATTCTCTCTACTGCTCCTGAGAAGCTGTCATCTTGTTTCTCCTCCTTTCCCATCTTTAGGTAAATTGTCTTCTTTTATTATAAACTACTTTTTTATTTTTCTTTAACCAGCGTTGGTTTTAGGATCCCAGCAAGCTGCATGTTCCAGCAGAACAGTGGCTGTCCACCCCTGGAGATTAACTGTGGCATAGCATGGCACAGTGTGAGACCCTCTCCAGATGTTACAAGACTATCACTAGAGGCAATGGTAGCTACGAGCTCAGCAAGCTACAGGCTCCTTCCCTGGCAGTTGTATCTAATGGAAAGTGACATTTTAAAAATAAAAACAAGCAAAGAAAGAAACACTATAAACTCAATTTTACCATTATAATGAGGTTTCCCAGTGACGGTTAATGACATAAGGACTTCCAAATGATATGAAAAACATTTCATATTGGAAGTATAACTCCCAATCTGCTGGATATCCAATACTCTGAGTTTGTGCACCCCCAAAATTGAAGAATGAATTCTAAGGAACAAGAGGTGCAGAGGAGAAAATATTTATTGAGGGAAAGATAGCTTCTGTATAGGAGACACAGAAGGGGGACCAGAAAGTGAGTTGCCCATGAGTCCACTTCTTAAAGCAAGTTTTATGGAGCAAAATTGAGGTGGGTATGAAATCATGAGATGGGTATAAGGTGGAACCAAAATGATCAACCAATAAGATTACAAGTGTAGGAATCACTTAGGTAACTAACATCGATCCAATGAGAAAGCGAGTTGCATAGCAAGTATACATGGAAAGAAGAACAAGGACCTCTCCTGGAAGGGAAGAGTCAAGGTCTCAGTCCCCACCCAGCTGATTGATACCTGTTAGAATATCAATCCTTAATGCTTATCCCTGGGGAAGTAGATGCAGTCATTCCATCTTTGTCTTGAGGCCTGGCCTTCAATGAACATGCTTCCACCCGCAATTCAATGTGTTCTCATTTTGTACCTAACTCCCTCAAGGGCCCACTATCACCTGACCACCTATAATCCTTCTACCTAACTTAGCTGTCTACAATACTAGGGTCTTTGAATATGTGCTGGGTCTTTGTGGTTGCGTTTTTGTATTGTTTTGTTTTGGTTTTTTACCTAAGGGAATAATTCCAAGAGACCAAGAATTGGTAGAAAAAATGTCAAGGCAGTCAAGTACAATCCTATAGTCTGCATGTTCTGGTGCCCAGAGAACCAGCCTCCAAAATAGCTATTGGCAACCTTAGAATCAAATGTGTAGGGGCTGGGGAGATGGCTCAGTGGAATAAGCGCTTCCTTGGCAAGCTCAAGGGCCTGAGTTCAATCCCCGGTTCCACCAAAACAACAACAACAAAAAAAACCAAACATGTCCCCAGTACCTGGGGATGACCTGGGGCTTTCATTCATCAACAGACTGACCACCTGCAGTTAAAAACAAAAAAAAAAGGGGGGGGGGGTCTTTAAGATTGAGGTTATAATTCCATCCACGTAAGCAGTCAGTGGAAATGTTGTAGGTAGCTAAGTTAGACATTATAGCTGTCCTCAAGGAGACAACAGGGAAGGCAAGATGACCTGGCAACTGTGGAAGAGACAGACACTCCTACTGTGGGCCAGACCCCAAGGCAAGAGTAAACAAGTGCAGCTACATACTTTCCTAGTGATGGCATCAGGGACTGATATTCTAAACAGGCTCCACCTTAGACCCACCTCACCACATAGTTTTGCTGTATAAAAATCTATAAAAATGGCAGATTCTGGGCAACCCACTCAGGTCCCCCTTCTGTCCTTCTCTCAGACAACAGCTTTCTTTCCCCCAATGAATATTTTCTGCCCTTAATCTACGTTGTTCCTAAAATTCATTCTTCAGTTTTAGAGAACATGAACTCGGCCCAGGTATCTTTCAACTTGGGAATTTCATCCCCCCATATCAGAAGTAGCATTTCCACTTAGAAATGTGTTCTCTACTTTTGAAATATCTATTTCAAGGATGACTTGCTCTCTGATTTTCTTTTATTCAAAAGAGGGAATAATTTTTTTAATGTAAATGCTACTGCAATTTTAATTCAAAAATTTAATCAGCTGCAGCTCAACATCATGAGGATAAATCTGGTGGATGTTAAGAGGATAAACGGTAATGTATCCCACTGATTTTAGGGTACCACTTCCATTAACATAGGCAGTTAAGAGCTGATTAAACCCCTGCGGGCTTAGTGAGAAAGGTACTGGGGAAGATATGACAACATGGCCCGAACTGAATGCCCGAGTGTATTCCAGCATTGAGTACCACTGGAGTTGGACTTGGGACTTTGGTGGAGCTTGGAAAACTTAGGATGCAAAGACAGAGGAAGGTGAAAATGGGACACAAAGAGGAAAACGTGGGTTGGTGGATGGGATTTTCAGAGCTGGTTATGCACTAGGTTGACTGCTTACTCAGGTTATCCTAGGCCACTGCTAGTTTGCTTCGGCAGCACCTACACTAAACACATGGGCATTGCTTGCCCAGGCCTGCACCCCCAGCTGCCCTGGATAGGACAGTCGTGATGGGAATGCATATGGTTTGACTGCCGGCAGGGCTGCTGAGATACATGTTCCCAGCCTGCTCCGAGAATGACTATGCAAAGAAGACTGAAGCGACCACAGAAGGAAGACAGGAACGTGAGGCTGGCTGATAAAAGGGAATAGGGTCCACGTGTTCCGTTTATGGTCAGGAGAGCCCGCTTCATGTTTCTAAAGTGTGTATTATCCTAGGAATCACAATAGTTGGCTTCTAAGTGATGATTTGTAATCAGCCACTTGTCCCATCCACATTCTTTGCTACAATCGAAAACATTAAATTTCCCATCAAACATTCTATCAAAGCAAAGCTTTACCTAAGTGCTTGTTTTGCTTCTGATGTGCGAATTTCTGGGAGCATTCTCCTAGGCAGATCTTCTAACTGTTTCTCCTGGCTCGGGTAAAAAGTAGCCACCAGGGAATGTGTTCTACTCACAGCAGAAAAACTCCGGTAGCCGCCATTCCTGACTCAGTGACCAGTCAGCCTGGGAACAGCAGCTCAAGGACAGGCTTTCACCCCTGCCGCCCTCACGGCCACTTCCAAGCCCTGCCTACCCCTTCTTCCACTCAGCTGTGGCTGAGCTCCGGCAGATACTATTTGTTCTCCTGGAAATGTCTCTGGTTGTATCTATCTGGACTGTGCTTAAAAACAGAGCTAAATATTAACCAAGACCCAAGCAAGCCAACTATAAAGCACTATTGATTCTCCTGAGACGAGAAGCGCATATAATGTCATTAGAATAAGTGCTCTGGCCAGGTCGCCCGGCACAAGGAACACCTGCCTCCCATTTGGCACCAATTTTAAGCATTAGAGAGCTGACGGCAGAGATTCAGCTTCAGAGCATGGAGACACAGGAGGCAACAGGCAGGAAAGGCCAGACTTCACTCTCAATCTCTTTTCTTTCCTGGCATTATCAAAGGGAGGGCCGGGGTGGGTTGCCTTTGGCTTGGATACTGGTGTCTGAAAGCAGAAAAGGGATGTCCTGATTAGAGATGCCAT